CCACCGTGGAAGTCTTTGAGAACGATGGATTTGCTCGACACGCGAATTGTTGCATAACGTGCTCAATGGTAAGATAGTAGCAGTAGTGACGACACTTGCTTAAGTCGAAAAGATATTCAATCATAGACCCATAGTAGGAGTGTCTAACACACCTGATTCCTATGATACCATTTCACCGGGACAACTGTTGACGCTAGCGAATAACTAACTAACCAATGAAACTGAGTAGATAGTGATGAGTAAGACTTTCCGCTGTATATCGGTGTAGATGGATTAGAGTGTGCTTACCGAAACGGCGGCAAAGAAAACAGCGGTAAAGTTGGAAAGCTTAGACAGGGTGATCTAGTACTAGTTTGTGGATGAAAAGTTTCATGGTTGAAATCAAGCTGGTTCGGTAGGTCTTGGCGAGAACAAGCAAAGTATACAGCACAGGGAGTTGAAGGAGCTCTGTTTGTTAGAAGCATAGAGGGAAAAGAAGGATGAAGCAGTGAAGCTCACTGAAGGGGACAGAAGACAGCCGAATGAGGGAAAAGTACAGAAAAAACGTTGACTCATCAACGAAATTGCATTGTCTGTCTAAGGACATAACATAACAATTCCTAAATATTTTCTTTCGCACCATACAGAATTTCACACGTGCTTCGAACATCTGCATTACGAAACATACTGCGTCTTTGCTTCAACTCAAATGTTTCACTCTCTACTGAGCGATCATAAGCCGGCCAGCCTGACGAGCGTCGGTATGCGGGTCATATCGAAAAGTGCAACTCTACTCCCGTTTTAAACTTTGCTGGCTTATTCCTTAATGCCATGACACACAAAGGAACACCTGGAAAATTCCCACTGTGATTGAACCACCTGGGATGACATCATGAGTTGTAAGTGTAATGACACCTTGGCTAAAGTCTGGGGTAACACGGTTATCGTTCCAGTTCGCTATAAAATGCCACTCCAACTGCACACTGATTCACCTGGTCTGACGAAGATCTTGTGTCAAGAGCGAAACGTTGCCAAACTATAGCCACCAATAGTTATCAAACCTCTCTGAACTCATGACTACTCGAACGATTCCCAGTATCTTTTACTAATTGTGAGCTGATTGTTGTCCCAAATTTATCTTAGAAAACCACGGTCACAGACATTTACGTTTCATTTCTTATGCCTAGACAGTGATAACAGGTTAGGCTCACAAACCTATATTTTCAGTTCCCGTTTCGTGCGATTTACTTTCTCTGAAAATCGTATCTTCACTACAACGAAAATGGTGGACAACTTACACGTATAGTGCCGTTCTATCATCTAGTGAGGCGTAAAAAGTCGCGAAACTGGTCCGGTTTTCACTACTCACATTTAACCGATTACTATTAAGTATTCGTGGTATTATGCTCAGAGGCAAAAGTAACGTTGATGACATAATGATTTCGGAACAATAGTCTTCAAGCCTAAGTATGGAAATAAAATCAATAATATACTGGCTAAAGATGACTGCAAAGGGAAGAAATTTAATTGTGAAAATCGTGCATCATCCTATGCCATTAGGCTCGTACTTGCGTTTGCGATTGAATGACAGAGAAGCACTAGGATACAGTGCCGGTTTACCTCTTTCATTCTTGATGACGATGGTCAATGCAGAATGGAGAAACTATGCCAACAGTTATTACTTCACACTACATTTCAGCAATGGATGAGCAAGTCCATCATGCCCAGGCACCCTAGTTGCTTTCATCAGTGCAACTTCCTGTCGGAATGACTGTCGACCAGTGGCCGAAAGAATTGCAAGCCTGGCTTGCGATCCGGATGTCAATGATTCGGATCCGTGCAGATGCAGATGATCTTGCGGTATAGCCAGATCTAACGCGACTGCTGGTGGTCGTGTGGCAGCGAAGTGTCGTTACGGTGTACCGACGTGGTGCTGATGTCCATCGAAAGTCCTCGGAGAGATGTCGACATCCCAATTAAAATCGTGCAGTTCAACATACGATGGAAACTCAAACGAGGTCCACTGAATGTTTTTCTATATTTCATACAAGGTTTTTCCCTTCACAAACTATAAATTAGCAATCTACAATGGAAAACGAAGCAGATAACATCATTTATTTTTTGGATGTGAATCTGAGAAGAAATCCGGATGGTACATTTACTCGATTGGTGTACCAGAAGCCTACTTGGACGGGATAGTATCATAAGTTTAACAGATTCTGTCCCGTCAAATACAAACGAGCTTTCGGACGCACTATTTGCACAAGTGTTCGTAAGATATGCTCCGAAGGAGCAAATCACAAGGAGCAGCAACATGCCTCAGCATCACTACGGGAGAACAGGTATCCCGAGAGGTTCATTAAGCGCCATTTCAAATGAAAAAACAATGGAGAAAAGTAAGGCCGACGTCCCTAAGAAGGTATTCATCATGCTGCCATTCAAAGGGAACCAAAATGATAGGCGATTTCGATATCGCTTTCGCCAGTCTATTAAGAAATGCTATTATGTGGCCGGTCTCGTCCTACACCACCAAGTTTAAAAGTTGTTCTGTAAGTCTGACCTAGACAGGCAAGACTCCAGTTACTGAGTCCTGCATTTACCTCTTTCATTGTACTTGCGGTAGCAAGTAGGTGGGCCGAATTGAGAGGAAACTGTCCAGGAGGATTTCAGAACATGTCCCACGTAACCTGGTGGTAAATGACCCTAAGCTGCCTGCAAGCTCTATCAGCCAGCATTTCCTCGGTTGTTCTACATGCCACCACAGGCAGGAATCGTTCAGGATCCTTAATCATCAGAACATTTCTCGTCTGCTTCAATTTGCGAGGACTTCAGCCATCCGTCGGCCGAAACCTAACTTATATAAGCAGAAAGGAGTTCGCGGCTACTCTCGCATTGACCTGATGTGGTTATCGATTAGTTCTATCTAAATAGACTGACTGCATGCATCTTCTTAGCGTTGTGCGTGCGCCATACTGATTCCACTGATTGTCTGTACACAGCTGATGAGAAGACGCGGAATATCCGAATTCGGATTAAGACCAGAAATCGGTTCAGGGTTAAGAATTCTTTTCGGTAAACTCTCTTCAGACCCAAACGTTTACATAACACTGATTGTGTGGGGTAAGCGTAAAATCGGGCTGGGACTGATTTCTAAGGTGTTTGAACGGTCAAGGTCGATGACTAAATGCGGCTACAGGTGTCATGCACTAAAGGGACATTAATACACAAGCCTCAGCAACCTAAAGTAAATTAGAAAGGTCAAGAAGGGAATTAAGTAACTGTGTCAGTCGGCCACGGTAGTAGTATCGGCCGTATGAATCGTTTATGTATAGGTAATTCCGACTTCAGTTGGTTGGATGTAAAGTGCTTCGGCAATAGACAAGATTTGTTTTCGGAAGCCTTTCGAGAAACTTTCAAGAAGTGAGTAGATGACTTTGAAGTCATTCTCAGATGCAGTATGGCCACTTTCGAGGAGGTGCGACATGATTTACTTGTCTGAGGACCTCATTTCGAATCTGTAAAACCACGCCGGGATGTGCTCGCGAGTCCTCTGTGATAGACGTCTCGTTGTGCGACCCACGTATCGTGCACCACAGGAGCACGAGTAATGATACACGAGACGTCTATCATAGAGAATTCGCGAGCAAATCCCGGCGTGATTTTAAAGAAGCGAAATGAGGTCCTCAGACAAGTAAATCATGTCGCACCTCCTCGAAAGTGGCCATACTGCATCTGAGAATGACTTCAAAGTCATCTACTCACTTCTTGAAAGTTTCTCGAAAGGCTTCCGAAAACAAATCTTGTCTATTGCCGAAGCACTTTACATCCAACCAACTGAAGTCGGAATTACCTATACATAAACGATTCATACGGCCGATACTACTACCGTGGCCGACTGACACGGTTACTTAATTCCCTTCTTGACCTTTCTTATTTACTTTAGGTTGCTGAGGCTTGTGTATTAATGTTCCTTTAGTGCATGACATCTGTAGCCGCATTTAGTCATTGACCTTGACCGTTCAAACACCTTAGAAATCAGTCCCAGCCCGATTTGACGCTTACCGCACACAATCAGTGTTATGTAAACGTTTGGGTCTGAAGAGAGCTTACCGAAAAGAATTCTTAACCCTGAACCGATTTCTGGACTTGATTCATCTGAATTCGGATTATTCTGTCCAAATGCTTTTTCCTGCTGTTTTGAAGTTTCGCTATACATTTTGTCCGAAACGAATGTCAAGTCATCTGACAAAAACCTAAAGCCACATTTTCTCAGCAACTGTTTCAACCAGCTGAGCCGTTTGTGAACCTGTATTTCTGATGAAAGTGTACAGTATTCTGACGTTACTGGACTATACCATTCCACGTTGTTTTACTTTAAATCACCGTTCTATATAGAGACCAAATCCCTTTGTCGCACAATAATTAGGTGTTACAGCTATCCTAGGACATATACTGCCTATCACCTTGAATGCGTCAACCAAACTATTCGAAGCATTCGGAGTCCAAACGCTAGTTCTTATCGTGGGACGGCTGTCATGCAAATACGGCTTGTCTTGGTCGTGCACTCAATAACAAGACGGGCATGCTGTATTTGAATGATCACTTCACAGGTTGCCCAATCATTTCCCATTACTGTCATGTGAAGGGGGGCTACAAGTGCGTTCCCGATAAGTAATCATATTAGTAGGCAAACAGTTGCGATCAGCGACATGCGTGATGAGCTGCATGTACCGGCGGCACACTAGCATGAATAGTCAGTGGGCAAAAACATTTGGAAATGGCGACAAAATACACGGAGTTCACAATAAACACACGATGTTAAAGGTAGAAAAATAATATTTCGTGAAAAAATGTGTACACTTGCCTAAAAAGGATCAAAGTTAAGTTATGTGAGAGAAGAGCAACAAGATATCACAATAGTACCGGAAACCGAGAGTGAGAAATAAGCATAAGGGGCGAACGGATGGATAGCCGATGCTACGATAGTGGTAGATGATGGATTTCATTCTCCAAAGCCATTCTTAATTGGCCAGCAGTATTGAGCAGTATTGAGCGGCCAGTTCGTGATGTCCAAATTTGGCCAGGATCTTGCTGAATTCGAAGAATATAGTGCAGAATAAGGATTCTAAAGTGAAGGAAAAACGGTGGAGAACTAAGAGAAAACCAAACCCATTGTCGGTGAACAACGATGAATGAATGAAGACATAGCGAGTCCAGCCGAATAGAGCCGTGATCATAATAAATAAATAAATAGTTTATTCTCGTCAATGCGAGGCACGCCATCAAGGGCGTGATCATGGTATTACAGATATAAATGATGAACAATTGCACAAATTAGTACATTTTGACCAATAGCATGGGAATTTGTGTGTGTGTTGAGATGTAAAACTATGTTTAACTGTGTATTTGGAAGGGGACATGTTGTGTGACTAGGTAAATGTGACTGTGTGTGCTTTTGTTTGTTGTGTTCGCCATCAAAGGGGGAATCAATGGGACGCTTTGAATCAAATGACGTCCGTGATGTGTGAATGATCCTTCGGAAAAGGGAAGAGGCAGTGACTTTATTTAGTGGCGAGTCATCCGCCACGTCACAGTGTTGTTAAACGGATACTTGTGGCTTTTTATAGAGAGAACGCTTGCCAGGCGAAATCCCACCAAATCCTGGAACACTGCCGCCGAACCATTTGCTGGAACGGGATTTACCCGAACCACCCAGCTGGCACCACGAGGAGGTTGTTCGGATAGCCAGCCAATGATAGTAGTAGTATTGCAAGAAGTAAAAGTGTGGACTCAGTGAAAACATGGATGATGGAAACCCGCAAACTAGTCAGCCTCAAACGGAATGTAAGAAGGGGAATAAAGCATTGTTATCCAACAACAGGGAGAGATATGTGAGTGACTCAGTTAGTGAATAACAATACGAACAGTGCAATGCAGCGCGCCGCTTGCCTAACCCCTAGAATTAAAAAAACAATAATTGACATAGAACATAAAAGATTGATTAAAATATGCAAACTAACAGAAGACAAAATTGTCGTGTGGAAGAACAGTGCCAAAATAGGGGGGCAGATGCAAGTGCAACAAGTTCGCGGGTGTCAGCCAAGAGGTAAGTCTATGAAACTGACATGCACCAATCAGGCAGACTTTCAATCAATTTCTTCACACCAACACCCACATGCGGATGGTCGGCGGAGACAGGAGGACAGACAGTCAGCACAGATAATCCAAGCCAGACACAGGTAGCCGCTCAATTGATGATCAGTAACGGTGATCTCGCCAAATCCTGACAGGGCCTCGTGACGACGATTGATCGAAGACGAGTGGATCCTAAGCACTATAGATCCAGTTTTGATAAAGCAGCGAAGGAGAGAGGTTAAATAAGGCATGTAAAAGACGAAACAATTCGCAAATGTCAGCGCAAGGTGTGCACCCTTCGCCAACTGAACTTGAGTTTGAAGCCGCAGATGCGGTATGAATGTGTAGGAGAACATAACAATCTCATAAAGGCGCGAAATAAGAGCGAATATCCCTTACTGAAAACAGAGCACAGATAGAGTGTGAACGCTGATGTGAAACGGGACCGCAGGTTAAGAAGATAGAGGAAGATTTCGGTGTTGCTCTCTCTTATCCCTGTACTCCACTATGCTGTGAAACGGTATCCCAGTCTTATGCTAGCCGAACTGTGCGTAGAGGATATACGAAGGGGGCAATTACAGAACCTTTCAATACTTCATTCCATGTCACCCCGGCCATGTATTTAAAATTTTCAAACTCCCACTAAATTGTAGTTCCATCCTTCGTTCACTGACATGGTTAACACCTCACCTTGTGTGCGCTTTCCTATGAGCTGCATGCATAGTTCACTTCACCTTTCAATGACCAACACACGTCTACACTCTCGTTCTGCGCCAATGATATGGTCACCGCAACCTCCGCATCAGTGCGCTGCAACTACATGGCTGAATATCACAAGCAGTTTGATCCCATTTCACTTCGGTACTTGTCCCGCCCACGTTCAATTCATGCAATGAACCAATCCCATCATCTTGTTCATCACATGAGAAAGCCTTGTACTGTGGTTCCGTCCCTTTGCATTGGTACATTTTAAAGCCTATCTCGTTGGCTATCGGACCAAAGTGCTTGGCATTGTATTTGGTTTGAGTCAGAAGCGTTGCTGTTAAGGCACAGGGTGATAATGCTTATTTATTCGTTCGTCAATAGTTCAATGGTGTATGATGGGATAAAAAGCATAACTTTACAAGACCCACAGGATGGATATGCAAAAGAAAATTAAAATCAAAATGTTCCAACGTGGAACGTAAAATATCAGTGGTTAAATCATTGCACTTTAAAAAAGTGTTGTGTATCGTTTATCACTAAGATGAAAATCTAAATGTCTTTCGAATGTCGTCATGTCTGGTGTGTCCACCACATAGTTTGGTAATGCATTCCAGTGAGAACAGATTTTAAGTGAGAAAAAATACTTTCTACAATTCAAACGAGAGTGTTGTGTCATTAGTTTCAGGCGGTTACCTCGGTTTTGTTTGTATGCGGCTAGAGTCAACAGTGATGTACATGGATGCTCGCTTTCGGTTAATATCCGGTATGTGAGAGTAAGATCTCCGCGAAGCCGTCGGTATTCTAATGAGAACACACCGAGTAAACGAAGACGCATTTCGTAACTTATACCGGATAGTCCACGCGTTGCCTTTGTGGTTCTTCTTTGGGGCTGTTCCAAGAGGCGGATGTCTCGTTTTAACCATGGACACCAGGCCTGAATTGCATATTCAACATGAGGACGAATGTAGGAGTTAATCAACAATGGTACTAGCTGTCGCTCAAAAGTGCCGAGAGCTCGCCTCAAAAGTCTCAAGTTCAAGTTCGCTACACTTGCTGCTTTCGAACATCGGAGCGAATTTCCAAGACTTTCTTGCACGATTATACCTAGGTCGCGTTCACTAGTCACGTGTTGCATGACATGTTGCTCCAAAAGGTATGTGTTAACGAAGCTGTTGTGCACCGTCAGCAGGTGGCACTTTGCAGGGTTCAGTAGGAGCTGGTTCTTTTCTGCCCATTCGTTAATCCGGGTCAGATCTTCCTGGAGGTAGATACGGTCGGATGCTGAGCGAATAGCTCTCCATATTTTAGCATCGTCTGCAAATATTTGCATCGGAGATAGAATGTCTGCTGGAAGGTCATTAATGTAGACTAAAAATAGTAGCGGGCCGAGGACAGATCCTTCTGGTACACCACTGGAGACGTAAACGCTTTCGGAATAGGTGTCAGATACTCTTACCTTGATTGCTCTGTCGTGTAAGTAGTCTTCCAACCAGGTGAGCAGGGAACCGTTGATACCGTAGGCAGCAAGCTTTTGGAGGAGAAAGAAGTGATTGACCCTGTCGAATGCTTTAGAAAAATCCAGGTGTATCACATCTATGGGCACTCCTTCATCAGCCGCCCTGGTCCATAAGCAAATTGGTGAGACAAGATCATCTGCGTCGGACCCCATGTTGGGCATTAGAAATTATCTGTTGACTTTCAAAGTATCGCGTCAGTACATCTGCGATCACCGATTCCATAACTTTTGACAAAACAGGAAGAAGTGTAAAAGGTCGGTAGTTAGCAGGATCCGAACGCTTACCTCCTTTATATATCAGAGTGATAATTCCATTTTTCCACTCAGATGGGAGTGTATGGGAGTTAAGCAGACACTGGAAAAAGGTTGCAAGTGGTGTTGCTATGGTGGGAGCAAGGGTTTTTAGTACTTTTGGGCAGATCATGTCGATTCCAGGGGCACTGTACTCCCGGAGAGACTGTAGTTTGCTTGCAACAGCTGCTGGAGTAAAGGTGACGCTAGATAAGCCAACGACATTGGTTGGGAGTTGATAGGGCGAAGGTTCCATGACATTTGTAGCTACCGAGCCAAACTGCAAGAGTAGAGCATTCGCGGCATCCACAGCAGTAGTTGATAGGCCACTGGCCGTCCTGAGTGGTGGTATTCCGGGCTTAATCTTTCTTTTGCCATTCACAAATCTGTAGAGCAGTTTGGTGTTACTCGTAAATTTCAGCACCATATTCTCCTGCCATTCGTACTTATCGACTCTAATGAGTGACGTGCAGTAGTTTCTGATGACTTTGTAATCCTGCCATGTGATATCGCACGGGCTTAACAAATGTTGCCTCCAGATTTCATCTCTTCTGTTGATCCATTTGCGTGTTCTGCTCCGGATCCACGTATTGGTCCGGCGCGATGCTCGTAATGGTACAACCTTCGATGCTGATTGTATGACCCAGTTAATTTTCTTTCGATTCATTCCACGCGTCATTCGCTGAGCTGTGCGTCTGTACGTCCCAGTCAATGGTTGCTGCTAAGCTGCGCAGCTTATAATAGTCCGTAATAGTGCGTTGAGTCTCCCTTTCTTTAGCAACAATACTGGCATAACATACATAACCGAATGTTAGGACTGAATGGTCGCTACGGCCCAGTGGAGGATCGTATGTTACTGACTCAACCATCAACTCTTCAATAGTCAGGATTAAGTCCAGGAGTGATGGCTTGTTTGAACCGCGATGTCTGGTTGGTCGATGCACATGGTTATACAAAACTGCCATATCCATGAATTCGAGGAGTTTCGATTTAAATGATGGCCCATTAGGGGACACTGATGCTATTGAAGGAACATTAAAGTCACCCATTATAAGATAGTGAGAGTACTTTTGTGAAACAGCATAGCGGAGGGCGTTTAACAGAATGTTATCGCTGTCTGCTGATGAGTTCGGAGGTCTATAAATAACTGCTAAGAGGCAAGCATCACTCTTCTTCTGTGAAACAACATCTCGACCTGCTAGGTGCAGTCGACAAAATAGTTCGTCGGGAATAACAAGGGAATTTTCGGTAAGTGTCTCACATTTCAGATAATCTCGATAGTAGAGAGCAACACCGCCACCGCGAGATGGACGATCATTTCGAATGACTGACATCTCACTGAGTTCAATCTCCGGATCAAGTATGTCGTTTGAGAGCCAAGTTTCAGTGACTGCTATGAGGTCCCAAGTTGTTGTTTCATGTCGGTGGCGCAGCTCCGAGAGCTTAGAGTACAACCCCTGAGTGTTGGTGTAGCAGCA